GGTAACGTTTGTTTGGTTGGTTTAGTGTTATTAAGTTACTTGTCTTTCTATGATCACAACTTAATTAGAAATTTTATAAAAAAATAAACCCTGTCCCTAAAGAAAATAGATAAAAATAACAGGTTAAGGCTAAAAAACTGGTCAGCTCCGTGAGTTTTCCGACCTGATTTTACTCTAATAATTTTAAATATAAACTTATTCCAATGCTTGAACCAATATTGTTGTAATAATTCAATTTTATTTCTATCCGGTTCATTTGTTTTTATATTTTTATCCCAAAATGAAGACAATTCTGACAGATTATCTTTTTCTAATTTAAATAAACTTTCAAAAACATAAGCAATTTCTATTCGAATAAGTGCTTTTTCTCTATTTTCTTTTTCAGTATTATTTGAAATTATTATTTTATATAATTCTAATTTATAAGATGATTCGATTATATCTGTTAAATTAAAAAATATATATATTTAAATTTTCAAAAGCGGTGACTATTTACTCTTGGTGCTAAAGCTTGACTCGAGACTTTTTTTGGATTGTTAGGTTTTTGTTCATATTTAGAAAGTTTCCCCTCAACCTTTGGTATCCAGAAAAGTGAATTTCTCTCAAAGATCCGATTTATATAGGAAAAGCTGGCAACTGTATATTCGAGTGGCACTATGAGGGAATGATTAAGCTTCACACTTCAGTCTTACCAAGTCTAAAAATGATCGGCTTTTGCATCTCCAACCATGGAAACATTAACTGAGGCATTATTTTTCTTAATTTAATTTTCACTCCTTTAATTTTATTTATAGCCTCGGCAGAATCTTCCAAACATAATGAATATAATTTTGAAGCAAATTCACTTTTTTCAATATTCTTATTTTCAAACTTTGCAGGTATTAAATTGTTAATTGCATGTAGATGAAGTCTTTCAATCAAATAAATTGCTTCTAATGAAGGCTCCGTAATATTGATCCTTTTAAAGCCCTCTAAAATATTTCAGATTAGGACGGGGTTTTCAAAGTTAGGACTTCAAGGTCCGGGTTGTTGTCGCTAAATCGGAGTTTGGATTAGTCATGGTTTGGCGCATCCCTAATTAAAATTAATAAAAGTTGCGTCTATTAGAGAGTGCTTCCAAATGGATAAATTATTTGATTGAACTATGTATATGAGTTACCAAATTTATGAACAATATTCTCAAACGCTACGAAATCATTGACACCAGTAGACTTTAACATTAAATAAAATTCTGCCAAAAGATTTATTGATGTATCTCCAATGATGTCTAAAGGGAGTTTATTCAAGTTATTTTCGATACCATTGAAGAATTGAAAGATTTTTTCTATCAATTCTAAATGATGTTCGTGCACTTTAATTTGGATATTTTCTCTTTGTTCTTTTTTATTTTTTAATTTTTTCGAAGATTTTGATTTATAATATTCTTTTACAGAATTTTTTTCCTTTTCCAATATTTTATCGATAAGAGGTTTTCTTTCAAGGATTTTTTGGTCTAGCAATGTAATTGTGATTCTCGTGTATAAATCGGTATAATCCTCATCCGAAAGATCATCCAAAAGTAGATGAACATAACTTTTATCAAAAGTCTTGTCCTCTTTTAATACTATAAAAAATTATTTCAATATAAATAGACATCAAAATAAGTGACTCCATGAGGCTGAAAGATTGTATCTTATATTTGGATCTATATTAAATTGGGTGTCCATCAATCATTGGACAGTTCCCCGAGCACCATCAAAATTAAAAAAAGAGTACGAATCTTAAATTGACTATATTTTAATTAACCCCTAACTTAATAGTTAGATTTGGGTACCGATTTAGATTTAGGTAATAAGAACCCTATCTGACAAATTGTATCTTACCGTTATCCTTTAATAACTACCCTGGGTAATTATTGTTTCGACATAGTAATCAATCGAGGGAGGGTAATTATTTGAGGGAGGGCAATTAAGGGAGAGGGAGATATTTAGTAAACATTATAAGCTACGATTTATTCAGCCTCAAAATAAAATCCAAAAATGAATTCGATCATATTTCTAAATTTAAAGTTGTTTTATACATAAAACCAAAATTAGAGGAAGGGAATGAATTGAAGGAAGGAATAAAATGAAAAAATTAATTTAAAAACTAATTAAAACTATTCTTCCAAAAATAACCAAAAATATTTATTTAAAAATAAATTTTCAAATTTTTTATAAAATCCTCACAATTTAGCGGTCCTTTTTGACACAGAAAAATGTTTAATAAAATAAAATATAATATTAATTTAAATAATATTAACATTTTATTATTAAAAACACATAAAAATTCTTTTAAATAAATAAAAATTGAAGAGCAGGTGAAGCAATTTAAAAATTTTTTTCTAAGAAATGGTAAAAATAAAAATACATTTAGAATAATAAAAACAAAAATAAAACGTGGAAATAATAAATTTTTTTTAAAAATTAGAGAAAAATAAAAAAATAGATTTTATTTAGAGGGTAGACACTAAAATTTTTTATAATTTTATTTAGCAGGTTTTGAAATTTAATATTAAATAAATTATACACTCAGACCTCGAACCCCTACTTGAGACAAAGAATTGGCTCAACTATAGGACATGCGTCCTATGAACCTTTATACGTCCCATAAGCTCCCTCTTTTAAAAATCTTATCTCAAATATATAACATCATTTAGTGGTAGGGGAGGGGGGATATATTTTGTCGAGACAAAATTTTATAAAATTTTGGTTTATTTTTGTAATCCGTTGGGAACTGAAAGTTTGGCTTGGACAAGAATTCTTGTGAAAATTAATTTCAATATTTCGGTTTGGAATCAAAAAAATCACCAAACTGACTAGATAGACTTGCCCAGAAATGGATAAACCACTAGAAACTAAAGCACTTTATTATTTACAAATCTAAAAATTTGAAATAACAAATAAAAATCGGGGAATGATTAAAGCAAGCAATTCAAAGGAAAAAATTTATTTATGAAATTTTAATTGTGAAATAATTATTGACTTATTTTTATTTTTAATATTTTCACGTGAATTTAAAAGAATCATGTGGAATCTTTCTTTGATGTAAGAGTGCAAATAAATAAATTATTTAATTTAATTAAATTTTTATTTATTAAAAATTGCATTATGCAAGGATTCTGAGTCCAACAATTTAAAATTGCCTAGTTAGTATATTTACGGACTTCAGTATGAGCTGGAGAAGTATTCAAGTGTTGTTTTTAATTTTGGCTACGGAGTCTGCTAATAGTCGGGTTTCATTCTCAGGCTTTAACTCACAACCCACGCTATTTATCATTTAATTTTTTTTTTAATTTTTGATTTAATTTTTAGAATTTTAGTAAAAGTTTAGTTTTTAAATTCCAGACATTAATTTAATTTAACTCTTTTATTTTATCTTAAACTCCTCTTTTGATATATTTTAATCAAAGAAAGGATTTATTGTATAAAATTGATGAATGGATTGGATCCAATTTTATATCTCTAGTCTGACCATTATGAACCTTTTGAGAGAATAGAAAGGATGGCCGTGTTACCCGAAACTCGAGACATGGATTTAATTTTAGGTCTGAAACAGGACACGGCTTTTTTCAAACTTGCACATTCCTGCTTTTTAAGGAGATTTTGGGATAGATAAAACCGGGGACGCAAACTAATTTTCGTTAAAATTTTTGTCTATAAAATTACTTTTATTTTTTAGATTTTATTTTTCATTTTAAAAATTTGAAGAATCTTAATACCAAAATTTAAAAATATTTTTTTTCTTGTCTCTCACAATAACAAAAACAATTTGCCCAGACACACTTGATTTGTTTCGTAAAATTCTTTCAAACCTTTTTTATTTAAACAACAATCTCATCAATTAGAAAAAGAGAATGTTTTTGTCTCCTTCACCCAAAAAATTTGCGGATTTATATTTGCGGATAGAATATGCAGATTCGAAAAAATATGCAAAATTGAAAATATAAGGTCCGCAAACATACTGTCTGCAAATTTTTCTTAAGAAAAATTTGTCCGCAACATTTGTCCGCAAAAATTTTGCGGACAAAAATTTGTATACGCAAAAGTTCCCCATCTTCCTTCCATTTCTTTCTGATTTATCTGCGGTGAGAAACGGGGCAGTTTTACGAGAGGTTAAATGAATGAGCGAAGAAAATAATGGTTTTTACATTCAAAAAAAATATTGCGCAGAGCTGTTGCATGGTTTCTCTCTCTCTTTTTGATTAAAACTATTAAATATAGTGTTAATCAATCAGTTTCTTTCCTTATAGACTGAAAACAAAAATGAACAAAAATGTGCTAAAATTGAGCGGAAGTACCCCCTCTTCACTTCATTTAATGTTTTTAGGAAAGAAAATATCCATAAAAGTTTTCAGAAGTCCTTTTGCCTATTCATTCGAAAACATTTACGCTTTGATTAATTGTGTAAAAATTGCCTAACATTAGCTTTAACATAATTAAGCGTTTTATTAATTTACAAATTAAATTACTTAGCTAAAATTTTGAAGGTAAAGCTGTTAATCCTACGAAAAAATTGTTCAATTTTCTGTTAATTTTGTTTAAGTTCTATGATTTAGCGATTTCACAACTAGTATGCTAAAAATTATTGTACCCGGAAACTTCTTAATACAACCGGAAACCCTCTTAGTATCAAATAAAAATTTTAGCTTGAACTGTGTCTTAAAACACACGAAAACCGTGCCAAAAGTTTTGTACCCATAAAACACAGCTAGATTATCTAGAAAATATGCCAAGGAACCACAATCCCAATATACCCGGCCACTCCAGTAAAGTTCGAATAATACATGCTAGTGTGTCCTGGATTTGATAAGCTTAAACAAAGCCCAGTGGTTCACCTAAATAATATTATTTTACCTATGTAAATGCATAAAACTGCCAGTGGTTTGCTCGAATAATTAAAATAAATTAATATAAAAATTTTTCTAAGCCATTTTTTCTTTAAATTTTTCTATAAAATTACTTAAACTTGCTAATTATCAACAACTAATATTAATATAGAAATGTCGCGGAATAGAGGAGGTGATTATTTCTCCGTTTCCCCACCTTCTGGTTATTATTCTTCAAGAATTATATCACAAAATACTGGCGGAATTCTTTCCCGATCGATGGAAGATCAGCGCCATTTACCTTTAACTGCTGCTGATAGAGCTATTTATAGACCTAAAAAGGAATATTATACTGGAGAATTATTCGGTGACGACATTATAAAAAATAAAATAAGAGGTGCAAGTGTTGGTGATAGATATTATAGGAGTAGTTCTGCTGAGAGAATTGGTAATAATTAATTTATTTTTGTAATATTATTATTAAATATTAGGTAAATAGTATTAATAATAATTAATAATAACTAGGGCTAGGATTTTAGGCAAAATGCCTGTTTTTTTCCTAAATAGGCCTGATGCTGAAACGTCCAAATCATGTGTTATTTTACTAAAATCTTCTTCCTAACTAATTTTATCGTTGCCTAAAATTGCCTATTTTGGCTTTTTCTGAAAAAGTGCCCTATTTTGCCTTTCTTCAGCCTATTTTGCATATTTTTACAAAAATTTGCGAATTTTTGGGCCTTTTTTGAGAAATTTGTTGACTAAAAATTAGTTTTGGTAAAATTTATTTTTCAAAAAAAATTTTTTTTTTGAAAATTTTTTTTGTCAAAAAATTTTTATTTTAAAAATTTATTCAAATTATTTTCGGAAGCAAAATAATTGATTCAAATTAATTTATATTCGCAATTCTTATCGTCAAAATTAATTTATTTAACAGTTTATTGCTTAAATTCAACCATTTTTATAGATTTTAGTCGATATTTTTCCAGATCTAGCTCAAATTTTAAGAAATTTTGTATATTTTGCTTGCCTATTTTGCCTTTTTTTCGAAATAAGGTGCCTATTTCGGCAGTTTTTTAGTGCCTATATAGGCGCCTATTTTTGACTTTTTAGTGCCTAAAAATCCTAGCCCTAATAATAACATTAATAATACATTAATAATAATTAATGTTAATAATTTAAATTCCATTTGGGCTATTGAATTTTGGATTTCGCACTTTTAAATTTTAGTAATTACGTATTTTTAATCAATTAGATTTCTCCTAGATTTCGATTAATTTAATCAAGCCGATAAAGTTAGGAATCCACTTCACTGACCCAGAGGATTTTTTTCCGAAATCCCGAATCCATCTTCAAACCTTTTAATATTCCAGCCCCCATGATCTTTGGGACGCTAAAGCCCTAAGTCTTAACATATCCGTCAAAAAAGTCTACTATAATTCGAAAGTTTGAAACTGTTTTGAAGGACGAGTCTATAATAAGGTTGACGGTTCTTGGAAAATCTTCGGATATCAGAACTTTTCTTTCTTTGGTTCCGGATATCCTACTTTTATAGCTAGCAATATTTTCAAGAAATTATTCAAATCTTATCATTGGCTAAAACTTAGTGTAAAAATTTTCCTTAAAATTCTTATAGGAGGTATAACAGTTGTCCCAATTCGTCGTGAAGCAACATTACCTGCTAGAAGATTCCATTCAGAATTGAGAAGTGAATTGAAAAGGGAAGGAATTGACGATATTTATGGAAATGTAGGTAAACAACTACAATCTTACGGAGGGAATTTTGATCGGTATTCAACATATGATAAAAGACAACAACAAAATTATGACCGTCCTTTGGTAATTAATCTAAATTAATTGGGTAGGAAGCTTCAAGGACTACATATATAGGTATTTCCAGTTTAACGTTGGCGGATCCTAGGAAATCCTTGGATATCCGCAACTTATTTCCGATTATTAGGCGGAATTTTTTTTTGAATTTCGATCAAAGATTCAGTCATCCGATTATTAGAAACGTTATAAGAAACGATTTTTCACCTAAAGGGATATCTAAAAATGGGATCTATATATTTATTAAAAGTCTTAAATTTATTTTCTAGACAACTTTTGATATTTGGAGGGAAAAATATAAAAATGAAGCAATTCAAGAACCCAAAACTTTTCTACTTCTTATACTATAAATTATCCAAATGGAACTGCAACAGCTGCAGAGTATTCAACGTTTCAACAAAATGTAAATTAGTTAATAACTCATTCCCTTTTTATGTGACTTTAGAAGAATCCCCCTTTTACTCCTTTTAGAGGTTTGGGAATAGGAAATTTTACCAAAGTTCAGAATTTAAAAGACAAACATGTCTAAAATCGGAATCATTCACCTCTCCTTTAAGCTCAAAACAAAAAATATTTTAATTTGGTTAGGTTGATGGTGAAGGTGGAACTGCATTGAAGCATTTTCAACACACCAAACATCAACAGAACCAAAGAGAATACAAGGAATGGCATTCAGGCGATAAACAGCAACATCGTTCCGCTGCCGATGTTTTTATAAAATTTTGATAGATTTTAACTTTAAATAATTTTTTTCAAGTCTTATACAACAATGGGAACATTAAGGAATTCGGCAGAGGAAAGACAAGCTAGAAAAGCAATTCAATATCATCAAAAACAAGAAAAACAGCATCGCGAAAGAGGAGAGGGAGATCATCATTATCATCGCCAAAATTTTGAACATTATTCGAATGGTTGGGTTGGTGGTCATGGTGATGGGATTAATTATTTAAATAAAAAGTATTATTAAAAAGTACAATCGGGCCTCATTATAAAGTGCATACATATTAACGGCGCAAAGCCATAACTTGCTACAAGTCTTTGAAATTAAGGGCCAGAAATTTACCAGCAGGTTATGGCCTTGCGCCGTTATGGCCTTGGCCTACTTGTTGTGTCCCCATATTTTTTAACTTTAGGAAATATGCTTAGCCTTTCCAAACCGGTAGCTAACCCAACTTTTGGATATAATGAGCTTCGATCTATAAGATATTATTTAAAAATATTAATTAGGAAAGACAAAAAATGGCAAAAAAGTAAAGGTTCAGCAGATGAACGTTGGTATGATGGAAGAAGAAATGAGGAATATTTTGACAGAAAATATTATAGAAAATACAGATTTTGTTGTTTTGACATTTTTTGGCCGCCTGGAGGGATAAAACAGAATAGGTATTCATATTTAAATTAGATTTCATGATCAAAATTTTGAAAAATCGCGATCGGATATGGGATTTTTAAACGAGAAATCTTAAAATTGAATGCAAAACTTTCTAAATTATTTTTACAGACCTCATCCCAAACAACAGAAACATCCACATACAATAAGCCAGCAACCATCACCAATACCTTTAGAACATAGGCCTTTCTATTCTTATAATAATTCTTTTCCTCCTCCTCCCCAACAAACTGATATTCCTGTCTATCGAGACAGAGTTGGAAGGGAACAACAAAATGGAAGACCTTTAGCAGCATCATATTCAGACTCTTCATATGGCCATCGCGAAATTCCTGTTAATCGAGAACAGAATTATTCTCATAAATATTAATAAAGCATTTAAAAACATTTTCTTATAAAATCATTTATTTCAGCGAAAATAAAGAAAAAATTAAATAATCCCAAAAATTTATTTTTTAACCTCATATACTTGCATAAACTTTATCTTATTAGTAAAATTATTTTATCTTAATATTCTTCATTATTTCCGTTGCAACGCAATCGGTATTTAATTATAATCAAAATTGTGAGATGCCCTAACTAACGGACTTTGTCAACAATAACATTGAACATTTTATACATTGCAGGCAGGACCTTTCGGAAATTTTTGGTCCTAGTTTTACGTGAAGGTGAATATATCATTGAAGTAGTCGCATTTGTTCGAGCCTTAGTATGTGTACAGCGATTTCTAGTTTCAGTTATATTCACCTAAAGGGATATCTAAAAATGGGATCTATATATTTATTAAAAGTCTTAAATTTATTTTCTAGACAACTTTTGATATTTGGAGGGAAAAATATAAAAATGAAGCAATTCAAGAACCCAAAACTTTAGCTACTTCTTATACTATAAATTATCCAAATGGAACTGCAACAGCTGCAGAGTATTCAACGTTTCAACAAAATGTAAATTAGTTAATAACTCATTCCCTTTTTATGTGACTTTAGAAGAATCCCCCTTTTACTCCTTTTAGAGGTTTGGGAATAGGAAATTTTACCAAAGTTCAGAATTTAAAAGACAAACATGTCTAAAATCGGAATCATTCACCTCTCCTTTAAGCTCAAAACAAAAAATATTTTAATTTGGTTAGGTTGATGGTGAAGGTGGAACTGCATTGAAGCATTTTCAACACACCAAACATCAACAGAACCAAAGAGAATACAAGGAATGGCATTCAGGCGATAAACAGCAACATCGTTCCGCTGCCGATGTTTTTATAAAATTTTGATAGATTTTAACTTTAAATAATTTTTTTCAAGTCTTATACAACAATGGGAACATTAAGGAATTCGGCAGAGGAAAGACAAGCTAGAAAAGCAATTCAATATCATCAAAAACAAGAAAAACAGCATCGCGAAAGAGGAGAGGGAGATCATCATTATCATCGCCAAAATTTTGAACATTATTCGAATGGTTGGGTTGGTGGTCATGGTGATGGGATTAATTATTTAAATAAAAAGTATTATTAAAAAGTACAATCGGGCCTCATTATAAAGTGCATACATATTAACGGCGCAAAGCCATAACTTGCTACAAGTCTTTGAAATTAAGGGCCAGAAATTTACCAGCAGGTTATGGCCTTGCGCCGTTATGGCCTTGGCCTACTTGTTGTGTCCCCATATTTTTTAACTTTAGGAAATATGCTTAGCCTTTCCAAACCGGTAGCTAACCCAACTTTTGGATATAATGAGCTTCGATCTATAAGATATTATTTAAAAATATTAATTAGGAAAGACAAAAAATGGCAAAAAAGTAAAGGTTCAGCAGATGAACGTTGGTATGATGGAAGAAGAAATGAGGAATATTTTGACAGAAAATATTATAGAAAATACAGATTTTGTTGTTTTGACATTTTTTGGCCGCCTGGAGGGATAAAACAGAATAGGTATTCATATTTAAATTAGATTTCATGATCAAAATTTTGAAAAATCGCGATCGGATATGGGATTTTTAAACGAGAAATCTTAAAATTGAATGCAAAACTTTCTAAATTATTTTTACAGACCTCATCCCAAACAACAGAAACATCCACATACAATAAGCCAGCAACCATCACCAATACCTTTAGAACATAGGCCTTTCTATTCTTATAATAATTCTTTTCCTCCTCCTCCCCAACAAACTGATATTCCTGTCTATCGAGACAGAGTTGGAAGGGAACAACAAAATGGAAGACCTTTAGCAGCATCATATTCAGACTCTTCATATGGCCATCGCGAAATTCCTGTTAATCGAGAACAGAATTATTCTCATAAATATTAATAAAGCATTTAAAAACATTTTCTTATAAAATCATTTATTTCAGCGAAAATAAAGAAAAAATTAAATAATCCCAAAAATTTATTTTTTAACCTCATATACTTGCATAAACTTTATCTTATTAGTAAAATTATTTTATCTTAATATTCTTCATTATTTCCGTTGCAACGCAATCGGTATTTAATTATAATCAAAATTGTGAGATGCCCTAACTAACGGACTTTGTCAACAATAACATTGAACATTTTATACATTGCAGGCAGGACCTTTCGGAAATTTTTGGTCCTAGTTTTACGTGAAGGTGAATATATCATTGAAGTAGTCGCATTTGTTCGAGCCTTAGTATGTGTACAGCGATTTCTAGTTTCAGTTATATTCACCTAAAGGGATATCTAAAAATGGGATCTATATATTTATTAAAAGTCTTAAATTTATTTTCTAGACAACTTTTGATATTTGGAGGGAAAAATATAAAAATGAAGCAATTCAAGAACCCAAAACTTTAGCTACTTCTTATACTATAAATTATCCAAATGGAACTGCAACAGCTGCAGAGTATTCAACGTTTCAACAAAATGTAAATTAGTTAATAACTCATTCCCTTTTTATGTGACTTTAGAAGAATCCCCCTTTTACTCCTTTTAGAGGTTTGGGAATAGGAAATTTTACCAAAGTTCAGAATTTAAAAGACAAACATGTCTAAAATCGGAATCATTCACCTCTCCTTTAAGCTCAAAACAAAAAATATTTTAATTTGGTTAGGTTGATGGTGAAGGTGGAACTGCATTGAAGCATTTTCAACACACCAAACATCAACAGAACCAAAGAGAATACAAGGAATGGCATTCAGGCGATAAACAGCAACATCGTTCCGCTGCCGATGTTTTTATAAAATTTTGATAGATTTTAACTTTAAATAATTTTTTTCAAGTCTTATACAACAATGGGAACATTAAGGAATTCGGCAGAGGAAAGACAAGCTAGAAAAGCAATTCAATATCATCAAAAACAAGAAAAACAGCATCGCGAAAGAGGAGAGGGAGATCATCATTATCATCGCCAAAATTTTGAACATTATTCGAATGGTTGGGTTGGTGGTCATGGTGATGGGATTAATTATTTAAATAAAAAGTATTATTAAAAAGTACAATCGGGCCTCATTATAAAGTGCATACATATTAACGGCGCAAAGCCATAACTTGCTACAAGTCTTTGAAATTAAGGGCCAGAAATTTACCAGCAGGTTATGGCCTTGCGCCGTTATGGCCTTGGCCTACTTGTTGTGTCCCCATATTTTTTAACTTTAGGAAATATGCTTAGCCTTTCCAAACCGGTAGCTAACCCAACTTTTGGATATAATGAGCTTCGATCTATAAGATATTATTTAAAAATATTAATTAGGAAAGACAAAAAATGGCAAAAAAGTAAAGGTTCAGCAGATGAACGTTGGTATGATGGAAGAAGAAATGAGGAATATTTTGACAGAAAATATTATAGAAAATACAGATTTTGTTGTTTTGACATTTTTTGGCCGCCTGGAGGGATAAAACAGAATAGGTATTCATATTTAAATTAGATTTCATGATCAAAATTTTGAAAAATCGCGATCGGATATGGGATTTTTAAACGAGAAATCTTAAAATTGAATGCAAAACTTTCTAAATTATTTTTACAGACCTCATCCCAAACAACAGAAACATCCACATACAATAAGCCAGCAACCATCACCAATACCTTTAGAACATAGGCCTTTCTATTCTTATAATAATTCTTTTCCTCCTCCTCCCCAACAAACTGATATTCCTGTCTATCGAGACAGAGTTGGAAGGGAACAACAAAATGGAAGACCTTTAGCAGCATCATATTCAGACTCTTCATATGGCCATCGCGAAATTCCTGTTAATCGAGAACAGAATTATTCTCATAAATATTAATAAAGCATTTAAAAACATTTTCTTATAAAATCATTTATTTCAGCGAAAATAAAGAAAAAATTAAATAATCCCAAAAATTTATTTTTTAACCTCATATACTTGCATAAACTTTATCTTATTAGTAAAATTATTTTATCTTAATATTCTTCATTATTTCCGTTGCAACGCAATCGGTATTTAATTATAATCAAAATTGTGAGATGCCCTAACTAACGGACTTTGTCAACAATAACATTGAACATTTTATACATTGCAGGCAGGACCTTTCGGAAATTTTTGGTCCTAGTTTTACGTGAAGGTGAATATATCATTGAAGTAGTCGCATTTGTTCGAGCCTTAGTATGTGTACAGCGATTTCTAGTTTCAGTTATGGCGATTATCCTATTATCAGCGACCATAGCTGTTAAGGCAAAAAAGCTGTTTCACAATTCCCTGCCCATAATAAAATCCTTACATAATTAAACTAAACAATTTTTAATTGGGGGACTCAGCATTCAGGATAAATTAACCCTTCTACATTCACGGACCTTTGTTTGTTTATTTAAAAATTAAATAAAATTTATTAAAAATTAAAATTTTAATTAATATTTTATTTATTTATTTATTTATTTGCACTTTTACATCAAAGAAAGCTTTCACAAGATTCTTTTAAATTCACGTGAAAATATTAAAAATAAAAACATGTCAATAATTATTTCACAATTAAAATTTCATAAATAAATTTTTTCCTTTGAATTAAATGCTTTAATCATTCCCCGATTTTTATTTTTTTATTTCAAATTTTTGTTTTTAAATAATAAAATTACATCATTTCTAGTAGACCTTTCTGTGACTGACCAATCTTTTTAAATTCCTTTTCAAGGAACCAGATGAATTAAAAATTAATTTTTCGGTAAACACGGATGTGGTTCAAGTCAAATTTGCGGTTCCAATGCCAAAAAACCAAGGAACCCGAATTTTATAAAAAAAACCACCGTTTTTGTGATATCTGACATGAAAGCTCAGCACTCATTTGTTTATATCGCGGTCGAAAAATACCTAAAAAATTTATTCCTTTGAGATACGGTTTTTTAAACTTAAAAAAGGAACTGACTTTTCTTAAAATATAAAATAGAACTGACTAAACGATACCTTCTAT